AGTGTACATCGTGCAAAGGACGTGCATTTTGATGATGAATTGTGTGATACTACAGACGTAGCAACTGCTATAAAATCCCTATTCAAAGTCTTGTTGTATATCCTATGGGCAAAAACTAATGACATCATAAGGTGCTGACTTCTGAAGCCGGAGACTAGCAATGCCATTATTGTGTTGTAAGGAAAGTATTTTTGATCTTAATATCTGCAAATATATGTCAAAAACAAAGCAAAATGATCCCTTTAGAATAGACAAGCGAGAAAAAGATTTTCAAAAATTTATATGTCAGTATATAACATACTTGAAACATACATTCTTTGAAAGATATGATTGCGTTAAGTTTTTGGGATTAGCGCACCTCCTCGTCTGTTTTTTATACTCATTTCGACCTATTTGCATTTTCCTCTTCTCAATTCCTTTTAGGTCACTGACCAGCCCTAGAAGGACGAAACAGCTGTATGATACAGTTATATTCATTATGTGGTCACGCTGTATCTAATTTTTTTTATTGCAAGATACTATTACTTGTATGTATTTTGTAAATATGTCGTATAGAATACTTTATACACTGGGAAAATCCTAGCGGTACATTTATACCAACTTATGGGCGCAATGTCTGGTAATATAAATCCGATCCCGAGATTGAGTTTCATACGACCCAGAACTGTATCCAATGCATTTACTATATTAGTAAGTACAATAAACTTATATAAATCACCTCTGTCTAGTTTGTTAACAAACTAATATTTGTTATGTTCACTTCATATTGAATTATAAAGTTATGTATTTAAACTTACGGAATTCGCTACGACACAGTGAGTTTAAGTTGAAAAATGCACTTACTAATTGGAAACAATTTCTTTTCTTCTAGTACATATGCAAACATAAATTGCGATGATTGTGCAGGTCACGTGACCCTCGACAATAAACAGTGACGTATTATGCATATTTTCTACACCACACTGTTTCACACGTGGGATTGCGTTTTTTTGACTTCAATTTCAATCGGTCATAAAAGAACTCATTCTAAATCTTAAAATACACAAACAGGTGCCCTCTGATGCACTTGCACTTGCAGGTTCCACTGTACAATCAGTATGCATATCTGTCAATCAAACATATTATTAGCATATATGTTCAAATACAAACGCTGCAAACGCCATGTATTGAACAAATCAGTTATATTGATACAGATTTTGATTTCTGCTTAATTAGTTAAAATTCTTCAAACAATGAATGAGATGTATTAGTGTCGACAGTGTGAAAGTGCTTTAACAATGCAACCTGGGTATCTTGGTCTTATTCTCAATATGGCGTTGTGCGTACGGTTAGCTACAACTTGGGAACAGGAATACGACTGTGGAAAGACCGGCAATGTATCTAGCAAGGAGATCTGTAAGTCTGGAATTAAGTAATTAAATAATTATAAGATATCATACGTACACGAATGAATATAGCATATGCCTACAGTCCGTAGAGAAATGATGCTATTCAAAAATCTATTTTTAGATCTGTTCTAGACAAATTTAGTAAAATATTAAAATAACATGTTGTACTATTTCTTTAATAAAGGAAAATAACTGAAAATGTAAGAAGGATTTTTAATGAAATTTTCACTGAAAAATTGTAAACGTTTTTTTTTCACAGATACATTATCCTGTGCGTAATTTGCTCACAACGTATTTTTTTTAATTATTTATGATAAACATGGATTTCACATTAAATTGACCTTTCTGTTACCGGAAGTTTATCTACAATATATTGTGGGTTAAGAGTCTCCTACATATGTAGATACACATAGATAGAACCATCTCCACTGCCAGTACTAATAACGTTTAAGTGACGAGTCTGTAAGGATGACATCATTTTTGGATATGGTTGAGGATGACGGGGTCTTTACATAGCCCAAATTTCCATTCTCTGAATCAGAAGCCATGTGGTACATTATTCATCATATCTGTGTTGTAAAATACTATTTTAATGTTTTTCATATTTAGATATATACATTAAATATAAAAAAAATCGATAACTTATATTTAAGTAGAATACTAAACACAATTTAGGTAGTCAATATATTTTTTTTCAAAGAAGGGATAGTAAACGCCCATAACACTTATCAAATGTAAAATAAGTGCCCTGTTCAATTAATATAATAGTTAAAAAAAAAAGTATGAATCGATATCTTTGTTCGTGATAATGTAGATTTCGAGGGTTGATTTATGGAGAGTATTGTTGACCTTATATGTCTAACAGAACGTATGTATAAAGAACGTATATACCTGATGGCTATTTCTCTTATTTGATACATTATTGATTACCGGTATCTCGTAATAAGTTCAATAAATGTGGAAACTTTTTTTCAGAATGCATATATGACACAGTACAACAATACTGCAAATTCTTTAACTGAAAGTATAATTTTGTGAAACATTTGAGGGGCAAACTTAACCAAAACGGATTTTTTTCTACAGAAACATGGCTTTCATTTTTTTTTACTCTAACTGATACTGTTACTCTCGTCTGTACCTCTATTTTTTATTTTACAGTTTTCTACGTTTCATGATCGAAATTTTAACATAAGAATTTCTGTGGGGTTTTTTTCGCCTGTTTTTAAAGTTTTAAGATATATATTAGGAATTTTAACTGCTTTCATAACACACGAAGCAACCACTTTGACAGTATGCGATGGAGTATTATGATCGTCTTAAAGCGTTTCATGTTATGAATGTACTTAATTATAAACTCATTAAAAGCATATGACTTCTAATTAATGATGCTGTAACTGAATTACATGAGATACATAAAAAGCGGTGATGTAACAAATATCTGATAATACTATGATTTGTACTAAGGCAAGAAAGGTCGGTCGTACTTAAATCTGGACAATGTATGTCTAGACAGTAAGAGTTGTGTTGGCTAAGGTCACATGGGGCCAGGTGCATCCGGCCTTCACTGGTCAGTGTGTTTAATGAGTATAATGGGTCAATATGTACAGATGGAAGGGGTTCATGGTGGTTAAATCAGTCATTCTAAAAATCTATCTCTCGCACCTGTTTTACTGCCTAAAATCTTACAATAATTGTTCCTCTTTTTTTAAAGAACCTATTTTATGTAACCTGTAGTTATCAAGTTTATTAGCCTTGTGAAATATTTATGTGTGAAAACCGTGAAAATGCATGCGATTTTTCTATTTTCATGGCGTAGTTTTCGAATATTTGTATGTTACTATTTCATAATTGCCAAGTTAGTAAGATAAAGGTATCTGAATCTTTTCACATTTTTTTAAAACGAGTTTTAAGGCATTATTTATTTCATAGTGTTAGGACAAAACTTGTGAAAACTGTCCAATTTAATACTCTGTAAGACAAATTCAGTATGGTATTACCGAACCAATTTATGTCTCTATCGAGATCCTGGTAACAATCGGAAAATAATTCAAATCTTTATAATCCTTTATTTTTTTAAAAGCACGGCTCAAGGAACAAAATACGTGATAAGTTGCTTTATTACATAACGGGGAAATATGTAGTTGTTTTTCTCTGGTTATATAAGATTTTTATGAGATGAATACTATACAGAGACAACGTAGACATCAACCCTCCGGTATATTTGTACATTTCTGTAACAATTAGTTGGGGATAAGTTTTTATATTATCGTATATGTTGGAAAAATAAATTAATAAAATGAAATGAAATAGACTAAGAAGAGAGTATTGTATTAAGGTTTGAAGAATCGTATTATGTACTTTGGAATACCTGTAAAAATTTGCATATATCAAATTATGAGATATTTCTAAATAGATGTTTAAAAATCTGCTTCATGAAGAATTTCATTAATAGTGTGATATTGGAGATTCTCATTTTCGTGCACAAAAATAATTGTTTTCTGACCGGATTGATCATAATCATTGAAAACATTTTTGTTATGATATTTCATATTTGCAAAAATGTCCCTTTGATGTGAGTTTATCATTTTGGATTTTCAGAAGTCTCCGTGTACATTTTTATTACATTTTGCCGCGATTTGATGGAATTTCACTTTTAATTAACATTCTGTTGATGTGTCGGAATTCATCGTCAGTGTATGTATTGGTATTTCTTAGATGTATATAAACTGTAACTATATTTTGTAAAATGTATTTCTGTAGACCTGACGGGACACTAAGTATAAAAACAATAATAATACAAAGGTGATGCGGGGTTTCCGGGCCGTCAAGCCCTTTCTTTCCATCATGTGTGACATGTAGTTCCATATATCTCAATGATTATCTGTGTTTAATGATATGTCTCTTTTTTCGTTTCTGAGGGAGTGTCTTCTGGAAAAGGAATAATTACAACGTCAACGAATATTAATGGATAGGGTCAGATATGACATGTTTCTATGAATTTTTTCTATTTTGTTCAACCAAGCAATTCGACTATTGTACAAATCCTTATATATAATATATACGATATAAGCAAAAGAGTGAAATTATAAACATGACAGTCCACTGTATTATAAAGCTGTTTCGCCCTTCTAGGACTCACAATGCAAAAATTATGACACGTAAGAAAGAAAATCCAAAATGATGGCAAGAATGGTCAAAATCGAGATTTATCGGTGCTCTAGTTTCATATCTCTATAAATTTGGTATTTTTATATATTTTGTAATTACAACGACTGTACAAAAGTCATCATACAGTTGTTTCGGCCCTCTAGGACTCGTCAGCTGATGCCAAGGACAACCTTTAACAAAGACCAGTAATTAAAGTTTTGATTAAGGCTTCAATACTTTATAATACTTTCCAGGTAACAACACTGTAACAGAAAGGAGAGAAATACTTCGATTCACACAACATTTCGTGTACATTAAATTGATCTGTTTGGACAGGCTGCCAGGATGTTCAGATCTTATTTTGTGCGAGATTAGAAAAGATATATGAACAAACAGTGTAGGAGTATGATGAAGATTGTTTTTTTTGTAAGCGTGTCCTAACTGTTTCCTGTTCTCTGTTTACAGGTAACGCATGTGAAACAGGAACACATACATGTGACAGAGACGCCATCTGTATCAACACAAGGCGGCGCTACAAATGTCGATGTAAACCAGGTTTTTATGGGACAGGGAAAATATGTGTAGGTGAGCGACCAATATTATTATCAACTGATTTGTTATTCACTTTGTAACCTAATAATCTTTATCTATTGTATCAACTGTCAGTGTAGGTATTTCTGTGTAAACAAGTAGTGTATGTCTTTCTGTGTAAACAAGCAGTGTATGTCTTTCTGTGTAAACAAGCACTGTAGGTCTTTCTATGTAAACAAGCAGTGTATGTGTTTCTGTGTAAACCAGCAGTGTATGTCTTTCTGTGTAAACAAGCAGTGTATGTCTTTCTGTGTAAACAAGCAGTGTATGTCTTTCTGTGTAAACAAGCAGTGTATGTCTTTCTGTGTAAACAAGCAGTGTATGTCTTTCTGTGTAAACAAGCAGTGTATGTCTTTCTGTGTAAACAAGCAGTGTATGTCTTTCTGTGTAAACAAGCAGTGTATGTCTTTCTGTGTAAACAAGCAGTGTATGTGTTTCTGTGTAAACAAGCACTGTATGTCTTTCTGTGTAAACAAGCAGTGTATGTCTTTCTATGTAAAAAAGCAGTGTATGTCTTTCTATGTCTTTCTGTGTAAACAAGCAGTGTATGTCTTTCTGTGTAAACAAGCACTGTATGTCTTTCTATGTCTTTCTATGTAAACAAGCAGTGTAAACAAGCAGTGTATGTGTTTCTGTGTAAACAAGCAGTGTATGTCTTTCTGTGTAAACAAGCATTGTATGTCTTTCTATGTAAACAAGCAGTGTATATCTTTCTATGTAAACAAGCAGTGTATATCTTTCTATGTAAACAAGCAGTGTATGTGTTTCTGTGTAAACAAGCAGTGTATGTCTTTCTATGTAAACAAGCAGTGTATGTCTTTCTGTGTAAACAAGCAGTGTATGTCTTTCTGTGTAAACAAGCAGTGTATGTCTTTCTGTGTAAACAAGCAGTGTATGTCTTTCTGTGTAAACAAGCAGTGTATGTCTTTCTGTGTAAACAAGCAGTGTATGTAAACAAGCAGTGTATGTCTTTCTGTGTAAACAAGCAGTGTATGTCTTTCTGTGTAAACAAGCAGTGTATGTCTTTCTGTGTAAACAAGCAGTGTATGTGTTTCTATGTAAACAAGCAGTGTATGTATTTCTGTGTAAACAAGCAGTGTATGTATTACTGTGTAAACAAGCAGTGTATGTATTTCTGTGTAAACAAGCAGTGTATGTCTTTCTGTGTAAACAAGCAGTGTATGTCTTTCTATGTAAACAAGCAGTGTATGTCTTTCTGTGTAAACAAGCAGTGTATGTCTGTCTTTGTAAACAAGCAGTGTATGTCTTTCTGTGTAAACAAGCAGTGTATGTCTTTCTGTGTAAACAAGCAGTGTATGTCTTTCTGTGTAAACAAGCAGTGTATGTCTTTCTGTGTAAACAAGCAGTGTATGTCTTTCTGTGTAAACAAGCAGTGTATGTCTTTCTGTGTAAACAAGCAGTGTATGTCTTTCTATGTAAACAAGCATTGTATGTCTTTGTGTGTAAATAAGCAGGTATGTCTTTCTGTGTAAACAAGCAGTGTATGTCTTTCTGTGTAAACAAGCAGTGTATGTCTTTCTGTGTAAACAAGCAGTGTATGTCTTTCTGTGTAAACAAGCAGTGTATGTCTTTCTGTGTAAACAAGCAGTGTATGTCTTTCTGTGTAAACAAGCAGTGTATGTCTTTCTGTGTAAACAAGCAGTGTATGTCTTTCTGTGTAAACAAGCAGTATATGTCTTTCTGTGTAAACAAGCAGTGTATGTCTTTCTGTGTAAACAAGCAGTATATGTCTTTCTGTGTAAACAAGCAGTGTATGTCTTTCTGTGTAAACAAGCAGTGTATGTCTTTCTGTGTAAACAAGCAGTGTATGTCTTTCTGTGTAAACAAGCAGTGTATGTCTTTCTGTGTAAACAAGCAGTGTATGTGTTTCTGTGTAAACAAGCAGTGTATGTCTTTCTGTGTAAACAAGCAGTGTATGTCTTTCTGTGTAAACAAGCAGTGTATGTCTTTCTGTGTAAACAAGCAGTGTATGTCTTTCTGTGTAAACAAGCAGTGTATGTCTTTCTGTGTAAACAAGCACTGTATGTCTTTCTGTGTAAACAAGCAGTGTATGTCTTTCTGTGTAAACAAGCAGTGTATGTCTTTCTGTGTAAACAAGCAGTGTATGTCTTTCTATGTCTTTCTGTGTAAACAAGCAGTGTATGTCTTTCTGTGTAAACAAGCAGTGTATGTCTTTCTGTGTAAACAAGCAGTGTATGTCTTTCTGTGTAAACAAGCAGTGTATGTCTTTCTATGTAAACAAGCAATGTATGTCTTTCTGTGTAAACAAGCAGTATATGTCTTTCTGTGTAAACAAGCAGTGTATGTCTTTCTATGTAAACAAGCAGTGTATGTCTTTCTGTGTAAACAAGCAGTGTATGTCTTTCTATGTAAACAAGCAGTGTATGTCTTTCTATGTAAACAAGCAGTGTATGTCTTTCTGTGTAAACAAGCAGTGTATGTCTTTCTGTGTAAACAAGCAGTGTATGTCTTTCTATGTAAACAAGCAGTGTATGTCTGTCTTTGTAAACAAGCAGTGTATGTCTTTCTATGTAGACAAGCAGTGTATGTCTTTCTGTGTAAACAAGCAGTGTAGGTCTTTCTGTGTAAACAAGCAGTGTATGTCTTTCTGTGTAAATAAGCAGTGTATGTGTTTCTATGTAAACAAGCAGTGTATGTCTTTCTGTGTAAACAAGCAGTGTATGTCTTTCTATGTAGACAAGCAGTGTGTATGTCTTTCTGTGTAAACAAGCAGTGTATGTCTTTCTGTGTAAACAAGCAGTGTATGTCTTTCTGTGTAAACAAGCAGTGTATGTCTTTCTGTGTAAACAAGTAGTGTATGTCTTTCTGTGTAAACAAGCAGTGTATGTCTTTCTGTGTAAACAAGCAGTGTATGTCTTTCTGTGTAAACAAGCAGTGTATGTCTTTCTGTGTAAACAAGCAGTGTATGTCTTTCTGTGTAAACAAGCAGTGTATGTCTTTCTGTGTAAACAAGCAGTGTATGTCTTTCTGTGTAAACAAGCAGTGTATGTCTTTCTGTGTAAACAAGCAGTGTATGTCTTTCTTTGTAAACAAGCAGTGTATGTCTTTCTGTGTAAACAAGCAGTGTATGTATTTCTGTGTAAACAAGCAGTGTATGTCTTGTAAACAAGCAGTGTGTTTCTGTGTAAACAAGCAGTGTATGTCTTTCTGTGTAAACAATCAGTGTATGTCTTTCTGTGTAAACAAGCAGTGTATGTCTTTCTGTGTAAACAAGCAGTGTATGTCTTTCTGTGTAAACAAGCAGTGTATGTCTTTCTGTGTAAACAAGCAGTGTATGTCTTTCTGTGTAAACAAGCAGTGTATGTCTTTCTATGTAAACAAGCAGTGTATGTCTTTCTGTGTAAACAAGCAGTGTATGTCTTTCTGTGTAAACAAGCACTGTATGTCTTTCTGTGTAAACAAGCAGTGTATATCTTTCTGTGTAAACAAGCAGTGTATGTCTTTCTGTGTAAACAAGCAGTGTATGTCTTTCTATGTAAACAAGCAGTGTATGTCTTTCTGTGTAAACAAGCAGTGTATGTCTTTCTGTGTAAACAAGCAGTGTATGTCTTTCTGTGTAAACAAGCAGTGTATGTCTTTCTGTGTAAACAAGCAGTGTATGTCTTTCTGTGTAAACAAGCAGTGTATGTCTTTCTGTGTAAACAAGCAGTGTATGTCTTTCTGTGTAAACAAGCAGTGTATGTCTTTCTGTGTAAACAAGTAGTGTGTGTTCTTTCTGTGTAAACAAGCAGTGTATGTCCTCTCACGTTGAGACATGTTGTATTTGTGCGACAGGAAGGTAGACATTTTTGATGCTCGTTAGTTTGCGTGTTGGTTCGTTGTTGTATCTTAATTTAGAAACTTACATTATTTACTTGGATTGACCAAAATTCACCTGGCAGGTGTCGTCGATGAGGCAGAAGACGCTTACTCTTTCGAAAAAAAACTGTCCTTATTCTCCTTGAACCTTTTAGCTAGTCTCCGTGTTAATCTTTTGTTTTTGTTCATATTTTGTCCTAGTTTTATTGAATTGGACTTGGAATTATAATCATATTGACATGTTGGTGTTTAGTTGTTGATTCATAGACATTACCTTTGTTGTCTTCGTTGTTTAACATCAGCTATAGGTGTATGTAGAGTTGGCTGCGTAATGATGTATGTTCAGAATACATTAAATATACGTAATTTTCATTTTGTATTAGTAGTCGACACCTTTTAAACGTAACACACTCGAAAATGGGAGACGACAATTACATTTATTACGCATAATGTACCCAGTGACAACAATTAACTGTAAATTATGCCTTGTATAAGGAGACAATAAGTAAATGCCACACAGAATTTGAAAGAAATATGACCGTTTTAGGCAGGTGACCTTAATATAGAGGTTCAGTCATTAAGGAAGTAATCGGTGACCTATATAAACCGGTCTTTGCTATGAACAGAAAACCTTCAGGCTAAGTTTGAATACATTTGTAATGTGTTAATTGTATAAACGACAGCTGATAAATATTATCATTATGTAACAGATTTCCGCTTCTGATTTCTATCCCTATATCCGGTGTAACTTGATCTATGTTCTTTCTGGCAAGGCTAGATATGAATCAATTTGCGAAACTTCTCAACCTTGTGACCAACGGTCACCGTGGAAATATTAGGCTATCGTTACTCCATATGGAGTTCCGTAAATACAACAATCAAGTATCGTTAATATGGAAGTACATCTACATATCTACAAATACATACTTATAGAAATGACGTCAAATCGTGACAAATATTGCAATGAATTCGTATTAAAATGTAAAATCGTAATTGATGTTTTGAATCAAAGCGATTTTAAATTATTATGAACCTTTCTAAAATAGCAACACACGTGAAGACAATTAAGACAGCCTTATTGCATGTAAAAAGGAACTCCAGATGTATACATTTTTGTGAGTTGTTAAATGCCAAATTATCCTATGAATAAAGATTCAGAAATATTTACAAGATGCTAACATCGTGTAAATGTAACCGCAAAGTTTTGGTCGTGTTTACATTTACATGGCCTGGAAACAACATGGGCGATTAAATGACGTTACATGAAAGAGAAAATAACAGAAAACAGAGTTTAATGTTTTTATAATCGTCCGACAGAAAAACACTACTGACACATGTCACGATAAGTCCTGCGTACAAAACACACATGTCAAAAATTTTAGCGAACATACACATAAGACTTTTTAGACAATTAGAGCAAATAATGTTTATCAAGAATTTTCACTTTTTAAAAAGGTTCTTCATTCTTTCCAGCGCCCCACAATAAAAAATAAGATGATCATTAAAATTACACTCTAATCCAATTTCTCTTCTTATCGTATATGTAGTAAACACTATTTTTAAGAATGACCTTGGAACAAAAACAATGACCTTTGGTCGAAGTATCTAATTCTATCAGAGCGGCAATCGAGTTTGAAATTTTATATATCTAGAATAGCATAGATGATTTAAAATCAAACTATTATTTCTTACTCAAAACTATTGTATCCATGATGACACAATTTAAACATTAATGCATGCGTGTATCCTCTCTCCACCAAGAAAGTTTTGATCCCGGGGGAAAAACGTTTAAAAGCACTGAAAGTCATGAGCGCTATAAACACTCACTTATCTCATTTTGGCTTGCTACTAATATATGTATTGTTCAGTACTGGTATTTGAATTCAAAGTTTCTGTAATAAAATAAAATCGAAAGGGTGCAATACAGAACAATATTTAAGAATACAAAATAATATCTATAGTTTCGGTTGCTTTGTTATATAACATGCATTTCGTTTTAATGAATTCTAACATATGTCATCAAATTTTCGATGTGTAAAGGGATGCAGAAAACTTCAATCTAACCAGGCTGGAATTTGGTAGCAAAGAAGTGATTGTTTTTATTAGGAAATGGGAAAGCGCGCTAGCCAAGTAATTTAGTTCACCTTGGAATATCTATTTCTTAATTGAGTGTAACGTTCATGTAACGCAGAAATAATCAGTTGATCATTATAGAAGAAACCTTAGAGGATCCATCTATTGTATACAAGCTGATATAGAATAACATATAAGATTGATATAGTTGATGTTTGAATTCTTACCTACTTTCACCTGACAATAGACCAGTTGAGTGTATTTTCAGCGCGTGTACACTCAATGACTCAATGACTGTCGAAATGTGCTCGATGATTCAAATCGCGAATGTACCAGATGACAGTCAAATCACGAAATGTATCAGATGACAGTCAAATCGCGAAATGTACCAGATGACAGTCAAATCGCGAAATGTATCAGATGACAGTCAAATCGCGAAATGTATCAGATGACAGTCAAATCGCGAAATGTACCAGATGACTGTCAAATCGCGTACAGTCGAACTGTACATTGGCACTGAATGGTTTGGCAAAAAACACTCGATCATTGTCATTCTTCGTAACATAATGAATATACCGGGCTATTTTCGCCCCTGTTTAATATTCGCCCTCTTCGTCACTGAATGGGGAAGGCAAATTTTAGATAGGAGTAAAAATGTTATTAACCATTTATGTAACCCGCATAGGGCGAAATGAACATGAGGCGAATTCGTGCATAATGGTACAAGGTCCAAAATAACCCGGGGCGAAAAAATCGGCATACAGTATACTCTCGCTCATGGTCAGACACTAACCGAGGTTGAGCCAATTGCATGTGATGATCACTTGCCTTTTTTATGACGTATACATGAATTTTGTTTTTTATTTTTAGATGAAAACGAATGTGATTACGAAAATGGAGGATGTGTTCATTTCTGTCAGAACCAGAGTGGTAATTACACGTGTAGCTGTAAGGAAGGGTTTGTGTTGGACAGGGATGGACACAACTGTATAGGTAAGGAAGGGTTTTAAATGGCAGGATTGGATACAAAATATGGGTAAGTAAAGGTTTGTGTTGGACAGGGATGGGGACACAACTGTATAGATAAGGAAGGATTTGTGTTGGACAGGGATGGGGGACACAACTGTATAGATAAGGAAGGATTTGTGTTGGACAGGGATGGGGACACAACTGTATAGATAAGGAAGGATTTGTGTTGGACAGGGATGGGGGACACAACTGTATAGATTGGACAGTGGATTGGGACACAACTGTATAGGATGGGGGACACAACTGTATAGATAAGGAAGGATTTGTGTTGGACAGGGATGGGGGACACAACTGATAAGGAAGGATTTGTGTTGGACAGGGATGGGGGACACAACTGTATAGATAAGGAAGGATTTGTGTTGGACAGGGATGGGGGACACAACTGTATAGATAAGGAAGGATTTGTGTTGGACAGGGATGGGGACACAACTGTATAGATAAGGAAGGATTTGTGTTGGACAGGGATGGGGGACACAACTGTATAGATAAGGAAGGATTTGTGTTGGACAGGGATGGGGACACAACTGTATAGATAAGGAAGGATTTGTGTTGGACAGGGATGGGGGACACAACTGTATAGATAAGGAAGGATTTGTGTTGGACAAGGATGGGGGACACAACTGTATAGATAAAGAAGGATTTGTGTTGGATAGGGATGGGGACACAACTGTATAGATAAAGAAGGATTTGTGTTGGACAGGGATGGGGGACACAACTGTATAGATAAGGAAGGATTTGTGTTGGACAGGGGTGGGGACACAACTGTATAGATAAGGAAGGATTTGTGTTGGACAGGGGTGGGGACACAACTGTATAGATAAGGAAGGATTTGTGTTGGACAGGGATGGGGGACACAACTGTATAGATAAAGAAGGATTTGTGTTGGACAGAGATGGGGACACAACTGTATAGATAAGGAAGGATTTGTGTTGGACAGGGATGGGGGACACAACTGTATAGATAAGGAAGGATTTGTGTTGGACAGGGATGGGGGCACAACTGTATAGATAAGGAAGAATTTGTGTTGGACAGGGATGGGGGACACAACTGTATAGATAAGGAAGGATTTGTGTTGGACAGGGATGGGGACACAGCTGTATAGATAAGGAAGGATTTGTGTTGGACAGGGATGTTGACACAAATGTATAGAAAAGGATGATTTGTGTTAGACATGGATGGACAACTACGGGGAGGCTTAGTTTTGACTCGGGTGAAACTTCATTGTATAGGCAAGACAGGTGGTAGTAGTTGGTCATAAATAATCATATCTGTTTTGAAAGAAACGATAGATCTTGTACCTGGGTTGGCATTATTGGCTTTACACCTGTCAGGTAAATCAAATTGGCTGATTGTGGTTCCAAAACCTCCAAAGTTGCAGTTCTATTCCAGCCCAATGCTACCATATGTTTCCAAAACATTAAAAGTATTATTGATGAACATAATCACTATGATTTAACTATTACGATATAACACAAATGATAAAAAATTGTTCTTTTCTGAATTTAACATGACTTTTTCTTACACAAAACGCTTGTTATTATCAATCGTTAACACCGTAGCTGTGAACCTGTTACAGTTTCCACTATATAGAATGAAACTTTTAAAAGATATAGTCTATTTAGAAGAGTTTGTATTGTCGATTAAATGGGTGCATTCGAGGTCCCGATCCTAGTTGATTGCAGGCAATGATATCCGTGAAATTTGGTATTAAGGGGCAATACATCTGGAATATAAGACGAGGTCAATAACATTGTGTGTATATACGATACATATACATGTTTCACACCGTTATGTAATATCTCACAACCACGAACATGTACACATACATCATTGTAGCAAATTTCTTCAATTCTTATAATTTATTTCGCTTTGAAAATTGATCCAAATAGAGTGATTTTGTTCTGGGTATAGATGTACGCTGTTACAGTATGGATTGTGTATTATACTGATTTTCTCAGTCTTACAGTAGTTTATTAATGTATCAAGTTTATTTTGAAACAAGCAAGAATGCCATTGATGCCGACATTAAGAAATGTCGCTCAGTACTAAGGGTTCATTAAATACAGACGCTTAGATTTTTTTCACTTTTAATCAATCTGACATTAATTACCCGAGACATATCATCGCTATCAAACTTGATTAGATAACACAAGAAAAAATGGATATTTTTTATTTGCGCCATGACGATGACTTTTGGTAGTGTGACGGCCAGTGACATTTAAGCTTCCTTAAAAAATTATCCACGCGTCATTGAGTAAATACATTCCTTCTGTTTTGTTTCAAAACAGGGAATTCATTCGCGTAGCTTTCGAATGAAATATAATACATGTTGGTTAGTATGGTTGTGTGTGTTGATCTATATATCTTTTCACACATTGCATTTATTTTATCAATTTGTTTTTTAGTTACTTATTATTTTATCTATATGGGCTTATATCCAATCATAAGACTGAATCAATAAGGCACTCAAATAAACAACACAATGAAGTGTCGGACTGTCACTTCGACACCGCTAATACATAACACAGGTCATAATGTACATTTCACAGATATAGATATCATCTAATGTAAAGATGTGTGGTATGGTGTCCCTTAATGACGTTAATTGATATAAAGGGGCGTCTAACACTCCTTTAATTCATGTAGACTCAGGAATGTTGATTCAAATAAGTGTTTCGATAGTACGTATGTGGTAATACTTTATGTATCCAAGAATGAACGAAGATGTCACCTATATTATACACAATGTTTTTTAACCTTTTTTCTAAATATGTCTTGTTCAATACTCAGTTAGTTTTATGCAAATCTGAAACGAGCTATTTTTTTCGACATAAAGAGCTAGATGTTTCAACAAAGGAAACAATTTTGGCCTCCATCCAATATATGCAGACTTCTGCGTTCATTTTTACATCAAGATTTTACAAAAGGCACATATTTTAATAACAATTTTCTGTACATCATATAAGTAGAGCCTATGATGAATTAAAATGCTTCATATGCCTCTTTCGTCCATTTTAGGACTCATCAGCGTTGTCAAAACTTTGAGGCAACTGAGATCAAGAATATGTCTAAATGATATCAAAAACTGGTTGATGGACTTTATTCTAATTACAACTCTGTAGTCGATGAAAGACCATTGTGTTACTTTTCCATTGGCGTGCACATCAACTGATTTCATTTGCATCACTTTCTTAAAAAATGCTTTCAGCAACCACTTTCCTATTAAAATATATCAATGAATGTGTAACTAAGATCATGATTAGAGCGGTAACAGAAATTATGAACACTGCTTCTTTTTTATGACAAATGTCGGACTTATATTTGAATCAACGGCATTTACAAGAATCCAAAACGGGAAAGGCGAGACATGTGATTCCAGTAAATTTTCGTTGTTAAGACTGGTTGTGCCGACACTAGACTACGAAATATCCATATCGCTCTTTATATAAACTTTATTCATTTTACAACAGTTGCGAAACAAGGGGTCTTATTGTGGGAGGAAACCGGAGTACCCGGGGAAAACCTACGTGGTCGCTCTTTATTTCCAATGGGGAGGGATATATATGTTCGGGTTGGGAGGAAGGGAGGTAGCAATCATATTGTGCAGTGAGATTGCAATCATTTCAACAGTAAACTACTGTCAGTTGATAAACCATGTCGGATACGAATGTCAACGGTTCGGTACATTATATCTATGTTTTTATGAACATTGCTATGGTGACTAAATTAATTTTTAATAAAACAAACACCCTTTTGAGAGTTCGCACTTTGCTATTTAATACTACAATGGTGATGTCATCAAAAGTGACGTCAATGGTTTGATGACTGATACATTTCATTGGATGTTCGGTAATATGAATTCATGTACCTACAACTGTATGTCTAGTTAAGAAACTTTGATTTTATTTTTACTACTGATGATTCTATTTCAGATAAAAATGAGTGTTTAGAAAATCTGGGCGGATGTGCAGCTCAGTGTGTGAATACCCTAGGGAGCTATGAATGTAGGTGTAATCAAGGGTATTCGTTGGCTCCAGATGGCCGATCTTGCCAGTGTAAGTATATATATGAAGGCGTGTTATGTAGATAGGTTGAATTATATTTTGGCTGATGAATGTGTCTAGGAACATTTAAGCTACAAAGAGGACTTATTTAATCTTCGCTTCCTTATTGTTCAGTTCAAACCATTAGAAAACAATTATAGTGTTAAATGAACGTCAATGCAATCGCCCGATTAAACGTCGCTATTGTGAAATCTTATGAAAGGTGAGAAGCAATATTCACAGATAAAAAAGGCAATACGATCCTGTAAGGGTACAAAATGATATCCAAACGAACGACAGAAAAAAAATCATTATCGAACTTGAAACTGCTGCAATACCAATAAAATATAAACACCGGCAGTATTTTACATAGGAAAAATATATGTCTTCTGCTACATCGATTGTGCCTGCAATAGAAATCCATGCGCACTGACCTTCTTTTCCCAAGGAAAAAGGTTATTTCCAAAATCAAAAGAAAGCTACGCCAATGTGCTTACTGCGCAAAATCTGTCAAAGTGACATTATTCCAAAGAAAATAGGTTGTTTTTCTACCAAAAGAAAATTGCAGCATTGTATTCCTGCTGCGAAAATTCATGCCAAAGCAACCTTATTATGCTATAGAAAATATACTATTTCCCAGTCAGAAGAAAGCTGCTACCGTGTCCCTACTGTGAAAATCTATGTCAAAGAAACCGTACCTTATTCTAAAACACTAGACTACTTTCAAATAAAAGAACAGTTTCAAGAATTCGTCAGTTCCATATTTTTCATTTACCTGTATGCCGGAAAATGTGGTGGGATCATGATGATTAAAATGTAAAGCCAATACAAGGCTGTATTCTTGTTTGCAAAATTATGCAATGTTACTTTTTAAAGGTAACATATATACAAGTAAAAATTAATGCAATTTTGATTTGAAATGCGTGCTAAAAACACAGAGTATAGGGAAGTAGGCTGGTTAAATAGGGCGATGTGAATAATTACAACCGGCTGTCCTGGACCCGGACAGACATCCAATGCCGATTGTTCTGTATACTGTACAAGTCTACCGGTCTGGTAAAGGTCACTAAGTATGGCTATTTGGATGCATGATGTAAGTAATGACTTCGTGTTTTATTGAAAATTACTTCACATTAGTTATAGTGTTTAAGCAAGAAAGACATACTTGAATTAGGATTGACTTGTACATAACCGACATATTTTAAAGGTATCGTTAAACCAAGGCCGTACCACTTCGTATGTACAGGTGTCGGATCGTAATCAATTTCACGGCGAATTAATTTGGAGACTTAACACATACATACCCGTCGTTACTCACCATCGATAAAGGGCTACAGTATTACACCTCACTAGGCAATCTCGACTAAATAATTGTAAATATGCTGAAAATAGAAGTCCACAGAGGTTAACTCAAGACCTCAAAGTACAAATATAGGGTACGAAACACCCAAAATAGCCTGGATCGCTACATCTCGTCTGCGGTCAACATAGTTGACTAAGCATGAAGGAATTCAATGATATATTTATATAATAGGCTTATTTTAACTCTTAGTTAATGTTATCATGCATTTTTCATAATGAAATAGTGTCTCGAGAATAAGTTCTTTTCTTAAGAGAGTAACAACATTATCTACGACTGTCACCACGGTTGTTCGTGTAGCATACAGTATGCACCGAACCATCTGGTCATGCTTAATACTGTTGATACAGGCAACGGGTACTATAGTAGCTCTGCATAATTCCTTCATCTGAAGATCTTATTTGATTAATTGTGTTTTCATTTTCTGTCGAAAAGAACGAAAGTTATACAGTACTTGATGACTAGGTTAGTAAATTGTGAAAGCGTCTTAACAATGCAATTATGTAAGATTACATAATACTATTCAAATATTTAACGTTTTCCTTACAAAAAGGTTATAAAACAAACACTTTATCATAAACATCTTTGGTGCCTAGAAACTCGGGAAAAAGAGACAGAGATTGATATTATCATAAAGAGTGATAAAATCTTAAGTCTAAACCTCCTGCGACTGTATGAAATTTAGTGCATAGTCACTTTTTGTAGCTGATCATAACGATGAATTTCTATATCTTAAGTAATTGGAAAAAAAAACAGATATTACAAAAAACACAGTTATGTCTTCGACTAATATTTCAGTATGAAAGGTGGTAAAATCAGATTCTCAGTGAAATATATTAATTCTTTAACTGATGTTTTAAATAGATGTTTCCATTTGTGTTATGTATTTTTCAGATGGAACTTACTGTCAGGAGAATTTCCAGTGTCAACATTTCTGTCACACCCCTGCTGGGAAACTGGTTTGTGGATGTCGGGAAGGCTACAGATTACATAACAATGCCCTCGACTGTATTCGTACGTAGGTTTCGATCTTTCTAGGGTCAGTCGATGCTTCAACCATCGATAAACGTATTTCACAAATAGTTTCTGTGAAATTCTCCATGAATGTTAACGTGCTTGGATCCATATTCACTGTTTTTCCTCACCTGCATGGAACCTCTCTTTATTGTTCTATACTTGAACATCGACAATTGCTGTAATGTAAAATATTCTTTTAGAAAAGCGTTATTGACAATTAGTCCATTAATCTTATGGTTTTTTAGCTCACTTACCACAAAGGGCCAAGTGCGCTTATACTGTGGCGCGGCGTCCGTCGTCCGTCCGTCGCAACATTTTCCTTTAAATAACTAAAAATTCAATAACCAATGGACCAAATGTATTGATATTTGGCTGGTATGTTCCTAAGATAGAGCATGAAAAGGTTTTAAAAATTAAATGACCTTGTCCTATATTCAAGGTCACAGGGATAAAATTTGTTAAAATCTTTAAACGACATATTCTCATGAACTACAAGGCTTAGAAGAATATTTGGCTGGCATGTTCCGAGGATGAAACCCTACACAAAGATTGCGAAAAGAATTAACCTTGCCTTATATTCAAGTTCACAGAGGTCAGATTTGCTAGAGGCACGATATTTGGCTGGTGTGTTCCCAGGATGAAGCGCGACAAAGTGTGCGATTAGAAATGACCTTGACTGATATTCAACGTAACAGGGGCCAAATGTGTTAAATCCTTTCAACTAGTTCTTTTCAGAAGCTATTAGGTCTCGAAGCATGATATTTGGCTGATATGTTCCTAGGGATGAAAAAAGAAATAACCTTGACCTGTGTTCAAGGTCACAGGAGTCAAATTTTTGAAAACATTTAAATGACTATTCCCTATGAACTAAAGACCGAGAGGCATGCTATTAGGCTGGTATTTATATACCAGGTGAGCGCTGCAGGCCCATTGGGGGTCTCTTGTCATAATGTAAATTTGGTTTCCTTTAAATATTACGATTAACATAGTACATGTCGACTATTCGTTGACAAATTTAAAACGTTGAAGATTTCTCTGAGAAATTCTAATGAACCAAGGAAAAGTCATGCACCTTTTTTTCGATACGAGATTTGAGAGAGTGCCTTAGTCGTTTATGTTGCTGCGGTCATGTATCACTACACCAGTTCTTATTTTGAGAGCGTAACACTACTAGTATTTTTACCGAAATTTACATTGAAGACGTTCCCGATAAAGCAGGCGACTTTCTTACGTTTCCCCTTTCTTTGTATTTCGCCTCAAACTCAGTCATTTTTGCCGAAATTTTCTTGTTTTATCCATTTCGTGTTGCTATAATGGTTTTATTCACACATTGGAATTTTCTGTTTTGTGATTTTAAGTGGATTTGACTTCATACCTTTGTATGTAGATTATTGTGTCCTCGTCTTGTTTTACTCTTTATAGGAAATTTCGTTGATGATGTCACAACTCTTCAGCACAGTTCGATTGTTCAACAATCTCTTCACAGTGGTGGTTTTTTTTCTCTTACCTCTGTTGTTTTGTATTTGTGGAAATTGACAGATGTTGGATTGTCATATATTGGGCACTTTAACTGATGACATATCATCGTTGTGGCAAAGTTTTATGTATAATCTTGTTTTTCTTTGAATAAGTAACGAATGCATTCCTTGGTAGATATGTTGGTTTGCTGTGTTATGCTTTGAAGGTTGTACAACAGTTATAAATACCACCTTTCAACACAAAATTATAATTAATTACTGTATAATTAAGTAATAAATTGTATCAGACCGCTGTTTTTTAGCTCACGGACTCGTCAGTGATGAAACCTTGTAGGAGATTGATGAAAAGAAAACTTGATCAAAAAATATAAAACTCTAAATTGGGAGGTGTACCAACCACTGGAACTCGTATTGTTGTTGTCATATGTTATAATGTGGCATATGCAAGCATCGAATGGATAAGTCACGTCGTTTTAACGTAAATTGATTGAACCTTCTTCTTGGTGTTACATGTCTTTACTGTACTGTACTTGAAATAGACTTGTTCATGTCCTGTGTAGTTTAAACACTTGTTACCAGTGTGGGAAGTTAACTCTCCGCACCTATTAAACTGCGAATGTGTGTTTATGGGATAGGCACTTTAATTGTCATGACTTCTAAGTAAACGTGCACATTTAAAAAACCTTTGTTTCTTTGCCAAGCAATTTCGTTCTTGCTTTTTATCAACCTTTTCACTGACGTGCCATAATAAAAGTGTTTTATTGGAGACGAGACTTACGACCGCACCATTTCAAAACCCAAACCCCAGATTATTTTTCAAGTACACAAGTATAAACAAAATTTTCTCGAGGAAAAACTATGAAAAAATCCTAAACATATGACCGTGCCTGCATGTGGAATGGCATACTGTGGGGAGGGATGTGTCATCTGGCTTTAAGGCGACATGTTGACTGTGGTATTCTGGGTAAATTTGTACTCGCCTGATTGTTAAGGCGACATGTTGACTGTTGTACTGTGGGTATCATTGTACTGTTTTTCTACCGCAGAGACGTGCGCAGCAGGTAATGGTGGATGTCAACATAACTGTACGGATGGCCCGCTGGGCCCGATATGTTCTTGCGCTCCTAAATACATTCTGAGGGACGACAACCATACATGTATTGGTAAGTGTTATAACTGCTGTCCGACAGCGGTACTGATAGCAACTAAGGATGTATTACATGGTGACGATATCTTCAAACATATCAGGGATTATCTTCAAATGTATTTCATCACATCCATGTACACGAGTAATATTAACATGATATAGGATTTAAAATTTAATTCTATTTCTTATCAATATCAGCAAAACATGCAATTCAAATCACTTTATTTTGTCTAGGTTCATAGAGAATTAGAGATCAAACATAAATTTTAAGATGGTCTTACAAACTTGGAGTGAAAGTGATCATGGTTGAGTTTTCTGATAAATAACGATAAGGTTTTAAGTAAGGAAACGAAAAATAATGTCCGAAGCAAATAAATTACCTCTCTTAGATAGTTAGTAACACGGTGTTATTACAAATACATCATCTTAAGTTATTACAAATAAATAATTTAAAGTTATGAGAAATAAATCATCTAAAGTTATTACAAATAAATCATCTTAATATTTATGTTTTGTTATGTTTTTGTTAACCATTTCTCCCATGTTGCTTTGTTTCATGTGAGGTGAGACATCTTATTAGATTGAACATAAGGAAACATTTATATCATATTTCAAACTGTAAGCGTTTGAAACTGCGTTTCGTTCCGAGATACATGCGATTTCTGTTTACTTAATAGTGGTCAAAGGGACAAAACTCTAACTTTAACCGTACAATTCATTTGCATTTGCTGTCTTGCCATGTGTTCTTTTGGATCGGTTCATTATCGAGTAATTGTATTTCCCAGCATCTTGTGAAGTAAATAACGGCGGTTGTGACAGAAAATGTATAGACACAAAGGCTGGTCCTCAGTGCTCCTGTCCTCGTGGTTTCAAACTACACCAGGATGACAGGACGTGTCTAGGTAAGATAGGTTACTTACAGCTATATACGGATAAGAGGGATGAATTTTTTTGCGAATTTAATTATTTTGAGGGTAAATAAATATTGCGATAAATTGATTCATTAAAAATCAATTGAGACACATAATTTTCGCATTAAAACTTAGATAAAAAGGCGAAAAAACAAGTTTATACTAAGTATATGTATATATATATATATAAATGTATTAAGAAACGTATCTTATCTTGTACAATCCATTATGAATTATTTGTTTCTTTCATAATATATCTTTATGAACAATCGTTGTGAGGAGAATTTGCCGTTGTGTATAACTGATACAACAGTCTAATTGTTAACCTTTGAAACAGTTTATTGAAATGAAATTGAGCTTTGATAACCGTTTTTAATTTTAGTTTAGATACAAATAATCAATATTTGAAATGAAGTAAAAATTCTGATAACAATAAACGAGTCAAAAGAAAAAAATATACTTGTCATGTTTCCTGGTTCAGGGAAATAATTGTACTGTTTATTATGTATCATGTATCGTATAACAGATATAGACGAATGTCAAATCGGCAACGGAGGTTGTAGTAACAAGTGTGTTAATACCAAGGGTGGATATGAATGTGTATGTCCTAAAGGCTTCAAGGTACAAGTGGACCATCGCACCTGTACAGGTAAGATCAAATGTAATTAGTACAACAGTTGATGTAAATGTGATGAGGTCAGGTACATGGTGTCGTTTGGGTTAATAACAAACTTGTTGAAGTAGATGTGTATGTATTTAACGTAGATATACACACAATGTACTATAAAATGCTTTAAAAAACAAATATGCTGTTAACATTGGTACAACTAAATATTTATGATTATTCAAACCAGACAGCAATGACATGGTGGGACATATACCTATATATTTTTTTCTTTAAATATCTTATTGACTCATTGCTTATACACTAAAATATTGGTAATCGTTTCAAAGAATGGCTGAGGTTTATGTTTAAATAATGAATGGATAAACAACAAAAAGAGTCCGGCCTTAACTGAACTGTAGCTTGATGTAGACAATGGATATTGTATGGAGTAACATTATCTTTCAGCCACTTGGCGGCGAGATAGAGGATATGACAGGGAAGACGTAATTAAGTTTGCAAACACGGTTATATCTCTCTTATCAGTTATTAGTGAAATTCCAATGCATTGTCGATGTGTCGTCATGATTATGAACTATAAAATTCCTTCGACACAGCCAGGAAATCTCACATCGCTGAAAACAATTGATGACATACCTATTTAGGGTAAAAGGGCATTCACCACTACTCATCCTCTATCAAAATGATCACTGTTTCAGATGTAGACGAATGTGAATTAAACACTACATGTGACCAAAGGTGTGTGAACACTCCTGGCACGTTCCACTGCACGTGTAAATCAGGATACCAGTTATATGGACTCACGCATTGCGCAGGTAACTTGTTTAACTGAAAAAAATAATAGATGGATTCCCTTCCTCAATTACAATGTGGTAAGAAAGTAACAAACTAAGGACTTTAAGGGTATATATGTGAGAAAATACAGATAAAAATAAGAGGAATTCGTGTTTTTTGATTCTATATAAAGATACGTAACTAAACCAAAATTTTAGATATACACCAAATATACTTATATAACATTTGTTTTGTAATTGTGCCCTTATCATTGATGTGAAATATACGTTACTTTTCAGAAACGGCACAACATGAAATGGGATGATGGTTGTAAATAAGTATTAAATTCCATCAAAAAGGTACTAATTTAATTGTCGTTTTACTGTGTATATGATATGTATATCATAACATAATGTTTTTTTTATTTCTAGATGCAAACGAATGCGCTCACAATAATGGCGGATGTCAACACACGTGTGAAAATACTGAGGGAGGTTTCATGTGTCACTGCCCGTCTGGCTTCAAACTACACACCAACCGGAAGGACTGTGTGTGTAAGTATATAGGAACATAAGGTCGGGTTCATTTTTTTAGCATTTACTGTAAAATCATGTTTTTTCACGGGGTTCATTTTTCATTGGATTTTGATTTCCTTGGTAAATATTGAAATATGTGCTAGTACAATAATTCATGTCAACTTTCAAACCTTTATTTTTTCGTGGACATATATTTTCTTGAATTTAGAGTACCTACACCTTAAGCGAAAAGACATCTCCTACGAAAATAAATGATTTGACAGTGCTTGAAATTAGTGTTACATGTCAAGTAAAGCATTATGATGATAAATCATGCATGCATCTTTTTGGGTTGGAGATATATAATGATGCAGCGTACCGAATATAACTTATGTTACAGACATTTCCTAAAAAAAACACAGGTTAAAATATGCTGCCTTCTAAAAATGGAGTACTTAGTTATTTTTTTCTGTACAAGACGTAATTGACCAAACGTGTAATTAAAGGAAACACAAATAGCTCTTCAATATTTTGCCTATCTGATTTAGCTGACCAGACATGTCTGCCTCTGCGGACACCTGCCAAATCAAGCATGACGTGTGTCCAGCAGGATGGAGATCAAGTATGCACTGTAAAATGTAATCCACGGACTTACTCCACCAGCCCGAAAGCTGAGAATGTCTACAGATGTGGTGCAAGCACGGGCTATGAATGGTTACATAGACTCTTGAATCAAACTTTATCGTCGTGTTCAGGTATGGAATCAAAGTTGTACAAACGTTTCAATGAATTATTTGTTTTCACATTAAATACAAATATGTCAATTTTAATTCAACCCCTGCTTGAACCGTATTTAATTCCTTTTGCTTTGTACATTAGAATCAGCTGAGGTCCCTGTTGTAAGGAAGTCTGCAAGAATTTTATTCGTGGCCAGCAAATGTCGAGTCCGACGAAGTATTCGAGAGGAAGTTCGACGGAATATTACTGCGCAGTTAGGTACGATTTTTTCAATATTCCTAGACACTGTTTTTTTTTAAAGCTTAATGATGTTCATTTATGTTTAAGCATCTTATGTATGTATTCTATCGCATATATACATGTATATGTAGAATTTCAGATAAGTTTTCAATTTTTTAGGAGATTTCCTTAAACGAGTATTTTATTTTATGTTTGCGAGCCTTGGCGAGCAGAAATTAAAAATTCGTGATGAGCTTTATATAACTTTTGGATAATTTTCAAATTCAAAATGTGGATGACAATATGAAATAGAGGCAGCCACTTTGTTGCATCATTTTCGATTTATAATGTAACGTCGTTTTAAATATCACAATATTTATGCCATCAATCGATTTCTGACTGGAGCAACCAGCGCATAAAAAACTCCAGTGTATATTACATTGGTGACATATGTGAAAATATACACGAGCGAATTAATTAGAAACAAGCGGATGATGTGATGATTTTGATTATTATTTCAACGTTCTAGTTTCATACTGTTATAATATCGTATTTTTTAAACAGAGTTGAAAAAGTATCGCTGTCGCCGAAAGTGTAGTGTTAGTTCTGTCAACATTGATTGTGATACCCGAAAGTCACGTCGACTGGTTCAAGACCTGAAGGGGGCGCTCGTAGCTGCGGATATCGAGATAGAGGTGGCGCCGCTCAAGACAAAAAGTAAATTCATATGACTATTTCTCTGATTTTTGCGTAATTCAAGGCACGAAGTCTTCCATCAAAATTTCAATAAAACTGTGTTTTATTACTAATTTCAAGAGTTAAAGATTTGATTTAACATTTCCTGAAAATGATTGCATTACTAATTTCTATTTCAGAAAAATGTGATTTTAAGTGCACAAAAAAGCGGACTGAAAGACGCATGAAAAAATTATTGAAGAGGATGAAGAAATTTATAAATAGATCTCAGTTTGTAGTGAGGTAAATGCATAAGAATTGTCTTTTCATGTTTTACATTGGAAACAGACGAAACCGCGTTCGATAGAACTTCTGTTTGTTCAACTCAAATCTGAAATGCGGAAGTCGGAAACATGACAACTGAAGTCGTTAATCAATAATAAGGTTATTCTTAGGTGTTCGTTCATCAGCTAACTCCTGTCTTCATATATGTTTTATCTAAACACGTAAATTAACTCTTCGGAGGCAATAAAATATGTATTTATCTGTTTCTTGTTTGTTTGTTTGTTTTTTTTTGTAATGAGAACTTAACAATGATTTCAGCTACGATGGCGAAGGTCGTGTAGTGGTAAAAAAGTCCTTCAAATACAAAAAAACTGTAGGATATGTCTGTCCAGAAGGCAAAGTAATGGCTGGTGACCAGTGTGGTAAGTACATTTAGATCTACTTCATAAATAATACATTTTAATTATTAATCTATTGTTCCACATAATTCTGTTACTGTACTTATAACGAACGTACTGACATGTATTGAAATACGTACTCACTATAGACTGATTCTGTTGTAGTTGCCTGTAGTGTTGGTTCGTACTTTAAGCGGAAGTTAGCTGTTTGCTCTCTTTGCTCAAGAGGGTCGTACCAAGACCAGGAGGGTCAGACATCATGTGTAAAATGTCCAAATCGTATACCGGGTGTGGGCATCCGAGGAGCTAAAACTGAAATGGAATGTACAGGTAAAATTTCACATAAATGCACTAGGAAACTTTGATGAAGCGACATTGGTGAAACACCGAGATGTTGTTAGTGTCATGTTGAATAAAAATTATGAAACGTTGTAAAATTCATACATTTCATACTGACGACAGGATGGAATTTAAAATCAAGCAAAATCACACCACGCCAAAACACCGACTGTGGTCTTTATTATTGCCTCACACCTAAAATAAATACAATGTGATTTCAGTATTATGTGAACCGGGGACATTCTCACACGATGGTCTAAAACCGTGCGCGCCATGCCAAGCGGGAACATACGGACCGGAGTACGGTCGCACATCCTGTTTTCCCTGTGGAGGCGGATTGACCACTGACAGCAATGGAGCCAGGACGTTCGCTGAATGTTCTCCAAGAGGTAAGAAAAAGGTCTTACAAAGTCACATCAAATGCGATTTACAATGGTGTACACTGCTAGTGGACATTTAGTTCCCGAGGTTTGTGGTAACCTTGGTATTGATTCATACAGATGTTATTGTCGAATATTAAAGTTATGTATATATGAAAAAAAAGTGAAATTTATTGAAGGATGGGACCAGTGATGCACCTAACTATCTCGACTTGGAATTTTCTTTTTTGATTTGTAGTGACGTGCTCTCCTGGTCATTTCTATGATGTCCAGAGTCATACGTGTCAGCAATGTCCAACTGCGAGCTATCAGCCTGATTCAGGCCAATCATTCTGTTACGCATGCCCGGGATCTACCGTAACGGATTCGCCAGCAACTATCAACAGTTCCGAATGCAAAGGTAAAATCCGTCTTACAATTAATGTCTTCTCTTTCTGAGAACAAAGTCATTAATGGTACATCAAAATGCTGTACAATCTGTATTCGTTTTCATATCACTGCAAATATTCTATTAAATTTCTAATCTGGATGATTATATTTTGTTTTCTATATTTAGTTTTGAATATAAATTTATGTATTTTTCGTGAAAATTGCTGTATGTATTGTCAGTTATTCATCAGATATATGAAAATTACAAAATCAACTGAATTGTTGGGATAGTGCACCTCCCCATCTTTTTACATTTCTATCGATTAATTTCAATTTTTCTAATTCGCCTCCTTGGTTAAACATTTATTCTCTTGGCATCACTGACGAGTCTTGGGACAAAACGCCTGTGTGATAAAGTTTGATTCATTGTTTGACTCTACTGTATCTTATCCAAATTTGTACTAAATGATGTTATTCATTTGTGCTTCTTTTGTACAATCTTCACATATATTTATTGGATAGCAGCTGCAATATATTCACAGGCAGATATTCTTGAAAGCAATACAGAATATATCACCAAACTTTCTTTTATTACGCTAATTTAGCACACACCTCTTGCCATTATAAATATATTTTCCTTTCACAATTAAGTGTAAAAAGTATAAGTTGTATATGACCTATACTATCCTATATTGCAGATGCTACCTGTGGTGGAATGATTGGGCGGTTGCAAGGGTTCATACAAAGTCCTAACTATCCCGGAAATTATCCAAACAATATTGAGTGTGTTTGGAGGATTAAACCAAGTAAAAAACGGAGGATTCTTGTGATTATCCCTGAAGTGTTTTTACCTAGAGAAGACCAATGTGGAGATAGCCTTGTTATGAGAAAGTCAAGTAAGTGTCTAATAATGATTCAAAATGTAAAATTGATTTTTGAAAGTTTGTCAAAAACCTTGCGATTTTCACGATGAAGAACGAATACGGTAATAAAAGTCACAATGATCCTAACGGTGACATACAGCTTCTTTTCACCAATAACAAAACACGCCACAACACGGTATTCGTCACAACTGTAGTACACAATGTTCATTTAAACCACAAAACACTTAAGAATGCTCATACAAAGCAATCAACGCATTAAGGGGCTTACAAACACACGAACGTTCTCTTCCTTTCAAAAATCAACACTGCAACACCAAATGTTCCTCCGAACTACACCGCTTCCCTGTCATCAAGTCACCACTTAAGCATAACACTTAAGCATTAAACTGCATTTAGTTGGCGTCATCTTTATTTTGACATCTTTGTAGACCAATTAGCATTTGAGAGGCCTCATAGGTTTCATTAATTTAGACTCTCTGCACATCAGGAAATTGCTGTACGGGACAGTTTTCTCCACTCTATGCCTTAACTGTATCTAATTCATATTGAATAGTGCTAATAAGTTGTCCTTTATACAATATAAAAATGCGAGAAATAACCAAAGCCCCTCTGAAGAAGAAAGCGCATCAAATTATCTTCTCGAAAACCCCAATACATGAATACCGAGTATTACAAAGAATATAGCAATTAGCAACAAGTGAACTGATATATGTTTATACAATGCCATTGTATCAATATTTAAATTCTCCTTTGTTCCAGAGAAAGCGTCTTCTCTCACAACATATGAAGCATGTGAGAGCACGGAGAAGCCGATAGCATTTACTTCACAGACACACAGACTTTGGATAAAGTTTAAATCAGATGGACAAAACTCGGCGGGTGGATTCTCCATTCCGTTTGTTACATATAACGGTAGGTATATAGAGGGCGCTAATAAATCTTTCTCCTTGATAATAGCACTGCTTATGTGGTAAAATGATTTTCAGTTTTAATGGAGAAATATGAGGATGTTGTATCAACAATCAGGTCAGACAATATTAATCATTTTATATCACGTACTTCAAACAAATAGTAAAAATTAGACAGTTTTCATGAAATCTACTAATCGCACCATCATCATTTCCCCATGAATTTGAAATGAAATTGATAACGTTTTCAGTTCTCGACACGGTTACATTACATAAAATGATGATGCTAACATATTGTAATTAGCGTCATAGAGTGTGCAAGTTGTGTTTCCCTGCACTATGTGAGATTAATAGAATCTTCCCCTACCCTGAGGGTGTGATAGAGAAATCTCCAACCCGAGGGGTTTTTTTTGGTTGTTGTCTAACCCGAGGCTCTGCCGAGGGTTAGACTACAAAAAAATCACCCCGAGGGTTGGAGATTTCTCTGTCACATCCTCTGAGGGTAGGGGTTGATTATTTTTCTCCCACCCCGTTATTTCTGCCACGACGTAAAAAAAAAAAATCCCACGGTACAAGTGTCTGAATGGCGCATGAATATCACCATTCACGTTTCCAAAATTCTACATTCTTCCGCGAGAGCAAAAATGACAGACTACAAACGCAATATGAATAACAATTAGAAATATTAATTTTGTGGAAATTAAATATTTTAATTAGAGATAGTTACATGGAAATACTTGTATTGAACAACATTTAACTCCGTATCATTTATTAAGGTAGGGTAGGCTTGCCACGATGTCATGGATAAAAAGGGGATTTCCCAGTTTATAATAACGTCAATTGTTTATGCGCGCGAAAAATTGCAATGGTGCGAGTGTCACGCGTGTGTTCATTCAGAATCAGAGTCATAGATGATCCTCCGACGGTTATTTGTGTTCACTGGACAAGGATTGATATAGTTAATGTTAACTGTGATGTTACAGTCGCGCATTACGGAACCTGCAAACAAAGCATCCACTCGTCGGTTTGAGTAAGTTGTGATAGCCGACTGAGGTCACCGAGTGCAGTCATGTGGGATAGATTTATCCTCCATGGGTGTTCCACATGGGACACTTTATGTATTAAATATATGTATTTTTTTTTACAAGTGAAAATGTAAAATGCTCTTTTGTTTTCTGCAGAGGATTATCAGCAGTTAATAGAAGACATTGTCAGAGATGGTCGACTTTACGATTCTTATCAGCACCAGTCAATCCTGAAGGTCAGTTATACACTTAACTATCTTATTGATAAAACAGCCATCATAGGTCAAGGTTGTTGCTGCTCGTGAAGGAAGAACAATAATATTTTAGCGGAAAACGCTCAAATAAGGTTATTTCTAAAATGTTTGTTATTGTTAGACTTACACTGTTGTCTTTCATTAAATTTACCGAGCATCGATTAGGTAGTTATTTCTTTTTATTTCACCTACAATACCTATCGGAGTTAGGAAGGCTATATATAGAGAATACATGGTCATTTTCTAAAAGATATAAGCTGTATATTGGCGACAGTAAAGAAATAAAAAGAAGCGAGCATCTGGCGAGTCATGCAGCTTATATCTAAAAACACTAACCATGTATTCTATTTATCCTGTAACACTGATTGCAAATGAAACCATCAAAACTTCAATAGTTTTGTTGTTCAATCTTTGTTAAACTGATGTTGACATTACGCTGAATTTTGTTTGATGATATACCCCAAAATAATTGCTTCGCGCAGTAATATAGTTGCCAACTTCAACGGATATGACAGCTAGTATATGAATGTTCGTAAATAACATTGTTCATTACAAGATACAAAAAAAATCTTTTTTCAACAGTTATCTATATTGGTAAACATTATATTTCAGTAAATTCAGAAAGTAATTCTGTCGAATTGATGCATGATCTAATATGCAGTTGTGTTCCGTCACTGCCTTATATAGCCAAAATATATGAGGAATTGGTGTTCTGACAATGGCAGCACCAGCTGCAATATGTATTCATTAATGACAAAATTGAAGCTGGTTAACAGTATTGTGAACATTTATCATCATAATGTTGTTGTTTGCAACACTAAAATAGAATCATCATCATCATCATGATATCAATCCAGTTTTGGGAAAACAAGTGTAAATTCGAGTTAAACTAACTTTTAGGAAATAACTATAAGTTCTGCTTTAGACTAATATGTGTTGCTTTTGGAAGTGTAACAATTTACGCATCAGTAATATATATATATCATATAAATTAAAAAGTGTATACATTAAAAATATCAATTTAACTGTGAAATATTCTAAATATAAATTTAATCTTATTCATCATAATGAGAACAATAATTATTTAATTTAAGATTGATTGGGGACAAGCGATAGTCAGGGGAAACTATGCATGTTTCGGTAAGGTAGATTCGTAATTTATATGTAAATTTTCAAGCGTAAGACCATTGTGGGTTGACGATACATACATTTGAGAGTATTTTTCCATATTATATTTTGCATTTTTTCAGAAGAACTTGCACTTTTATAATCCATTGTAACATTATTTGTGTCTAAGGTTTGATTTCAATAGACTTCTACATAATATATGTTGTCCTATTTGTTAACAGGACAGGAAGATGCTCAGCGTGCTAATGGAAGTGATCGCACAACCTTATCACTATTTCAAATACGCCAACGCATCTCGTACGATGATGCCAGAGTCGTTTATAAAGCTATTGACATCTAAGGTAACTCGTTTCCTTAGAACATAACTGGTTCTCTACTACAGCATCTTTTGAATGGAGAAAAAGGCACCTATAGTTACGAGAAGCGTGAGGTTAGCGCTGTGGGAATAACTGCAAGTCAGAAACACTACTTCTATTAATAGCACGAGAAATAAAGAAATGAAAATGATGCACTTTTGGAACCATAACGTGCGAAAACATTTTTACTATACCTTACAAACTTGCGGAAGACTTATATATTTCTTATGTTAAAAAAGGAGATGTTAGAAAGTGATTTGATGGTTCGTTTGAACTTCTGAGCGTTGGATCTTCTCACCCATGCTGTATATACTCGTTCCTTTTAAAGGGTCTTTAAGTCGATTGTTGATTCAACTCTGGTTACGAAATAGAACACATTATATAGATATAGACATGTTTATATACCAAAACCTCACACTTTGTAAGACAAAGGAATGGTTTTGTGTGTTGTTTTCCAAGTGTGGGTTGTAAACCAGTAACTAAGATAAACGCCATCTTTGTACAGTATGAATTGGATGCCGTAGACCAAAAAAAATACATTTACGTCATATTCTTCATATACCGTATTCCAATGAATGATAATTGTTACTAGGGAAATAAAATATTGAAATTGATCGCAGTCTGATGGAAATGTGCAATAACATATTTTTGTTTGACACTGAAACCGACAGAGAGATTCGACTCATATGACGGTGTTCATCTCTCTGAAACTCTTTTCATTGATGGACAGGATACTTAATAACGTTTTTATCATGAAATAAGTACTGCAGATAAAGCTGTTGTAGAACGATGCTTTTACACAAGTGTTGTAGGATAATTGTGTAATAAAGACTGAAAGTTTGATGACTCGGTCAGTAAAACCAATTAACCGTCTGTCAATGTTCTAATTTCATGTTGAAACACCGCATCATAATACTAGTTTACAGTGTGGTAGATATGTATATATTCAACAGAGGAAACATGCTTTTAGATATCACAGCATCTACGTAAGATAGATAGTACTGGTTTGATGTTCGTCTTCAATACGTAATCACATCATAATACATTATAGTACGAAATTGATAGTACATGTCCTGGGAATATGTTTTTCATTCAATAGTGAAAACAAACGTATTGCTATCACAAAGGAAGTAATTTTCCATTCACCTTTAGTCTTTTATCTTTCGATCACCATTGGATGAAATACATGATTTAAACAATATATGTCCATTTTAGATAAAAATTCGTGCAAATGACGTTATGCTATATTCGTGAAAGGTTTGGCAAAATTATTATTTTCCAATACTTGCATGTATTTTACAATTAGGACGAAAGGACTATCGGGTCTTAATTTTCATGTTTAAGCAATGGACAAAAGACAAAACACATTTCACAAAAATATAACAAGACTTATTTTGCATGAGAGCGAAATTAACTGTGGACAATATTTCCCCGCAAACAAAATATAATTATATCATTGTCATATCTTTAACCTGATTTAATCTTGGAAAATCTAAATTCAAAACATCCAAAAAAAATATTAGCTCTAACCGAAATGCTGATTTTGCAAGAAATTTGCAATATATTTGTCAATAATTTTCTGATTTTGTCTTTCAGACCAATGTTTTAAAACAGTAAGATTTGTAGAGTTGAAAGCGGTTTTTATATACGTTTTAAGAAAAAACAAACTTTCAAATTAACTTGAGGAAGAGAGAGTGCTCTTACTCGGTAAGGTTGTTTTGACTGGTTGTAAACATTTCCTTAATTTAGTTTATTCATATCATATCGAACTCAAAGTATTTGTTGTATTGTTTTAATTTATTTACTTTTGTGAGTTCATCTTCCAGTGTCAGATGTTAACAAATTGGTGTATATTCGTGTCATTTATCATTGCTATGTTGCTCATTTACTATTTTAAAAGGTATGCACCTATAGAGTAAACATTGTTATTGTGAGTTACGACTTATTGCTAAACGCTCTTACGGAGAAAGAAAATAGAATATTTTTTTTTGAAAAATTATTGATTATTTTTATTATTAATGGACACTTTATGTGTTAAATTATAAACAAAAATCAGTATGTTGAATTTATTGGCTTAATACGGTATAACATTTGTGATTTATGATGAAAATTAAAAAGAAAAACAGATCATAATTTTGATTGATATTATACCTACAGTAAGAAAAAGTAAATCTCATAGCATTGTGTGTAATTTTAAAATTTTCAATGACATAAATTTATTTGTATTGTCATTTTCTATTTTTTTCCAATACATGTGATGTCTTTCTAATCGTGAATCAATTATATGCTTATATAGACTTGTATTTAACGTAATCACGTATTTACACAATCGGTATGGTGGAACAGGCATGGTATAAATTGCCTGAACGACTTGTACAAAATAAACCCTATTTTCAGTAGGCGCTTTATAAATAGTACATCATTAAAATGCACATGCCATCACTAGGGCGCTGTACATGGTATTCATGTTAACGTGTAGCAGTGTCACGTCGACTGTATGTAAATCCTCCAGATAGAATTTTCATATTCAAAACAACATAGAATCGTCATAATAAATGCTTGTCAGAGTTTTGAAACTGTTCTTGTTTTCTTTTCTACTGACTCTGTATGTATGGTGGTATGTTCTGCGTGTGTCAATATATCACTAATGAAGCAGTATTCATAAAACGTAGAGAAAACAAATGTTTTTAATGGCATTTTCCCTTAAAACAGACATAATCGACTTGGCCCTCTGTGCGAGTTCGAGATTTCGACGCGAAGCAGATTTTGTTACGTAATGCCAGCCCGAAACTGGTATAAATAAGTATATATCTTACACAGTATCATTATATTTCTCTTCGATATTACTGTCAAAACTGCATTTTTTTCTCGACTCGTTTTATTTAATCAAATCTCCCTCTCCTAACCGTTTTTCCGAAAGTACGAACAATAAAAAAGAAATCATTTTAATTAAGGTATCATTTGGCGTCATATATCGAGTTAGTTTGCCAACAAATCGGACGACGAGACCGAAAAGCCTAGAGCAGAAATAATCCTTTACAGAACCCTTTATGACACCATTACATCTTATGATTCATCATTAATTAAATATATTAAAATAACACAAAATGTCTACCTAGAATATATTGTTACCGGCAACCTCTCTCTAGTGATGATGTTGTCAAAGTTACACATATTACCGCCATTGATGACTCGTTCGCAAACGTTATATTTAAACTTCCTCAAAGTTTAAAAGTATAGATTAAACACATTTCTCGTTCTTCACACACTTATGTCGAGGATACGGACCACATGCTTACGAACATTCTTCTACGTTAATTGCACAAATGGAACATTTGCATGTATCACAAACGAACGATCACAAAATTTATATTTATGGTTCATATTGCAACAAAATACATATTCATAACATGATGAACACACATTGAACTTCGTTTGTAGCTGAATATATTTTCACTGTGGTTAGTTGTACCTTTAACATTCTGACCAAGGAAAGTGAATACTCTACTCAAGTGCAAAGGATAACTTGCTTACAACCGTTAACATCTTTCAGCCATCTTGGGCATGTTCATTTATTCGGTCAAGCTGGTTCGACTGCACTTTAAATGTAAGCTATCAGGAACATGAGGACGGCGCGGAAAATGTTAATACAGGTCTTGAAAGTGTTAGTCTTAGCTCGCCACTAAGCAAAATAAGACCAGTAGGCCCGCCCTTCTTAAACGAATAAAAATGGTCCAACTGGCAGAATAAACAGCCCAGGTCACAACAATATCAATTACGTGCGAGCACTTCCAACACGAATACCTCTTGTAAAAATACGCCACCTTGGACTTCCAAGAGATGACTGAAAAAGGGAGACAAATCAGGAATTCAACAGCAAGCATTTTAAATATAACGAATATAGTAAGAAAATGACCTTTAGTTCAAATACGACGTATGGCAGCATATTATGTACCGTTGTTCGTTCAGTGAACTATTCATTACTTTAAAGTTAATGTCAGTTGTAGGTCGGTAAACAGTTGAGGTCTTCATTAGGAGGAGATCACTCAAGAATGATTTAAAAAAATATTTGAATATATGCATTACAAAACATTACCTTTCTGAGAAAACGTTTAAGAGATGTCCTACATCCTATTTTATAAAAAAAACATTTCAAATATCATATAATAGATAAAGGATTCATAACGCTTGACTTTAATCGTAAAACGAGTCTCTGAAGTTTTTTAATGTGACCCTTGTTCAGTAAACATTTAAACTTGCAGAAGAGTTTCGTAAAATTTTAAATAAAATGAAAACAAATCGAAGATAATTTTTATCAAATAACTAAATAAATTCTATTTTGACAAGTGTGTAAGTCAAAGTGTGGAGGACAAAATCAAACGTCATTATCAGTTGATGACGTAACATCATTGTTCATATTATGACGTCAGAATAGATTTTTTAGTGATGTAGCCAATGAAAAACACTCTAGGGTATATTATACTAGTGACATATGTAAAAATATATCTTAGTCGAATTCATTGCATACAAGGCAGATTAAGTAATATACCTGGTTACAACTTGTATATGTAAGTACTGACACTGTTCGTACGATGTAGATATATTGTGATCTATGTTATGACGAAGAACTCGTGATCAACATAAGGCCAGAGGTATTTGCTTAATTTACACTTCGTCCATAGCTTTGAGACAGTATGGAATGGTTATTTCCTCTGATCACCATGTTAATTTTTATAAGATTATTGTACTGTACCAGATATTGAAAACATGATCGTTCTGGCCTACTTACCCGGAACATTTGTCGACTGGCATCGCTAGTGTTCGTTCGATAAGCATCGTCTACGATAAAAAATAATTTGATTTCTCAGTCAAACTATAAAACTTGTGTTAATGCTTATAGCATTTTCTCCTATACTTCTGTCTGCATTCAATTCCAAGCTAGTAATGATGAGCTCAAAGATTCGTTTAGAACAATGTCACGCATGTAAAATGTTAAAGAACTTTAAACAACACAAGAATCATTCGTTAATAAAAAAAAAAGTTAATATTTTTTAGTTTTATTGGCATGGAAAAAAATCAAGAATATACCAATATGTCAACAGAACCATAATCCAAAACAAGGGCAAAATATGAACAAAAGAAAGACTTACACTGAAAAAGGACAAGGAAAATAAGACTAGGTGTTGTAAGATGACAATCTGGTTTTTAAGAATGTATATAACTCTCTTAATGTTTCAATTCTCTTCATATTTCAATAAAGTAAAGTTGGAAAATGATCTGATATTTACGCAAAAATGAGGTATTCTGAACTATTAAAACTATTCTAGATGCACAAACTGGAAAAAGTCAATGCCTATCAAATATATCCCAATCTAATGATAGTTTTGCGGGTTTGTTAATTTGGTCATTTACTAAAATACCCATTATATTGCCTCTTATTTACATCATCAGGAACGTTATAACATTTGGAAAAATAGTTCATATGCAAACGAAATAGTATTTAGAGAAGTACTTACTTGCCACAGACCGCACTGTAGACTTGGGCACAAGCGTCTGTCTGAAGTTAAACTGTAATCAATGCAAAAAAATATTATTGATGGTTAACAATTCTAACCTTTCGTTAAACAAGGGTATTTGTCTTCCCTTATAAATAGTCTTCAATACATCCATTTCCTATGGAAACAAAAAGAAGCATAGTATACAGCCCAATAGCTCCAAATTGTACAGTCTCCAAGAAGGAAATGAGAGAGAGAGAGAGAGAGAGAGAGAGAGAGAGAGAGAGAGAGAGATGGCGCAAATTTCATGCAATACTATCTCAAAACCTCTCATCGTTTCTTTCCATATTGTATTAAATGTCTCATAATAATATTATGTTGAACCTCGTTACCTCGAACGCGTATAACTCGAAGATCACGTTTAACTCTTAGTATTTCGTCTGTCTCGTCCAACCTTTTCACCAAACATTTGATCTCACTTAAATCGAATTCTCGGGTAACTCGTAAGTTTTCCAACGATCTTGCTGGCTTCGCAATAACGAAGATCGACTGTAACAAGTTTCTATCCCTGATATCATAAAGTGTTATGTTATTATGTCATGTTTCGTACAGTATTGCACAAAAGTCTCTTAGTCGTATTCAAAATGTCTCTCGATAGTATTTTTCATTACTTATCAATGTATTGACGTTTGTGATATATCGCTAAACAAATACACAAAGATGATATGTTACTACCGTCTAATTACATTCTAGACTAGACCACGTGGTACATTATATAATTCTAGAATTGACCAGTTTGAAATAACAATCGTGTACGTCGAAGTATTTTATGAAACCCGCATTGAAAGTAGCACTAATTAATGCTGAACTACACGCGTAACATCTGATAGGCTGTATTGACATCTGTCAACGGCAAACACATCAACATCTGTACGTTTGCGTGGATATAAATGTTTCATAGACTTGCTAGATAAAATACATACACGTTCATCCCTGCCAAAGTAAAACTTTAGCTCTGTCATCATTCTGTCTCTAACGTCTAGGCTGATAGAGGGCCGAGCTGAGCTTGCACGTGATGTCATTACGGATATTCGTGGCGTGGAAGATCGCACAGACCCTGGTCGTGTTGAAGTTGCGGACATTGTGCGGAGGTTAAAGGTCCTTTCCTGCAGTACCGGTGACGCGCATGTGCGGTAACACACGGTCACATCTCGTAGGTACTGCGGCTCCATGGCGTCTGTGCGAGAATGTAAAAAAGTGTTATATAAAGCTTACACAATCTGTAAATATAGGTACAATAATTCTCTTCGTCGCAAGTTAGCTTATTCAGTGTACAATAAAATCATTTCCGTGGAATTCAATTTTCGTGTTTTTTTTTTCTTTTGGTTTTATTCAAAATCAATATTTCATGGACAGCAGCAATGTGATTGGCTAGTGCGATAAAATCTCAAATGATATGTATTTAAAGAAGATGATTCTTATTTTAAAATTTCTTGGAAAAACATGTTTAGTAGTGAAAGTTGTCTATACCAATCATACAAGATCAACATCAGTTGGACTTTTTGTGATTAGGTATGAGAAATGAGAACGATATCTTATGGAATAAATCTTATGAGTTCTGTGTGTTCTGAATCTTCTTTCAATTTCACCACCGTAACTGCAGCTGTTGCACAGAATTCCTTTGTCATTTTGATGCACTAAAACTTGTCATTTCTGGCCCCATCGGCTGACAAGCTTCTCACGATACCATCGTCGAGGAAGATTGTCTCTGGGCTATCAGAATGACTCTTGTTTGACGGTGTTGTGAGATCGCATCCACAGGAGTGCTGATCTGATGTTTACACAAACCCTCTCTATAGCATTTGACACCCGTTTGATGTAAGGTATGGTCAGCATGCCTTTTTATTTTCTCGAAGTTTTTTTATCAATCAACCTGAATAAGTACATTGTGTGAGAGGATTTTTGATATGACAATTATTTACGATGTTACTGTTTCTATCCAGGAGAGTGCAAACCAGCCCCCACTGTTGGCTCAATGAATTGTGGGAGTTCAAACTGAGGTACTAATATATATATATGTTAGTTTTTGTATACCAGCAAATTGATGGACTCACCGCACCTAGTTACGGTCAAGGTGTTCAAGAAGGGAATCCTTCTATCTGTCTCTTCTTCTGATGTAAATATTATGGAGACTGTGTCATTTTAACAAATGGATGAGATATCAACCGCTGCACAGACTGCCTGCAGTAAAAAAACAGTAATATGTCGTCATAATCTGACAGTTGACTTCACACTTTTTTCCACTCCCAAAATGTGGATCTGTCGACAAGGAAGCGTCATTTGTAATTTTTTTCTTAAAAGAAAGAGACGCTTTCGGAAGCTCGGAGACATTGATTTCAATACGGATTGGTGTGTAAGATAAACATTTTCTAAAAATATATCTACACCAAACTTGTGACTCTTATCCCGAACACTAGATGCAGTACTGAATAATAAATAGTACATGATACAGCTGTTCATCCTATATCATTCGTCATCTATGTTTATTGTCTAAGTCGTTAAAACACAAAAGGAGACGGAGAAAAATCCAAATCAATCCATTAAAAAAAATAAAAAAACAATAAAAAAAAAAAAAAAAAATAGTGAGGTGTGGTATTCTAAATCTAAAATTCAATACTGATAGATTTTAATGCGCAGACAGATGCATTTTATTGTCTACAGTAAAATGATAATTATTGAATTTGTTGCGTAGATTTAAGCGCCGCAGGTAGAGCACCCTGGTTACAGTATCCAAACAATCGATCTTCACGAATGAACTGGATTTATAAGTTTGATATCACTTTTGAAATGTGGAATCGTTATTGTAGATTGATTTGTAAAATTGATCATAAGTACCATTTTGTTGTTATATGTGAAGAAATGTGGAATGAAAAGTACATTATATAAAAAGCATTTAGTTCAGATTGCTATTCTAGCACAGAACATAATCAATATGTCAGAACGATGAGGATCTGGTTAGTCTGCACGAGATGAACTAAAAACAACCCTTTTAATCCGTGTGATATATCTTAGTACGATACGTCCAGGAGAGAAATCACACAATGAGTGATTGTTTGCCTCCGTGTATAACACGGAAAATGATATGCCAATCAAATACGACTTAGCATTGAAGTCATACGTCTTTTTAATGGAACGTAAATATTTTTTAAACTCAAGGTGAGGCTATGTAAATATTTAATCGAATCCGTTTAAATACTTCACTTTTAAATGTATGGCTTGTATTAGCCATAAACAAACGTGTTCGGATCGTATTTTTTTTTCAAATCTTGACATTAAGCTTGAGAAAATGCGATCAAAACGTATTACACATGTATATACCCTATTCAAGCATACAAATGTTGTAAATGATTATCAAGATATTTATGAATCAGAATTCTAGGTTTCTGAAAAATGCCATTATGAACAATATTTTAGATAACAAAATTCCAAACAAACAAGCAAACCAAAAAACAAGCAAATCGTGTTTCTGTTTTAAGGAACATTCGATGATATTTCAATTATATATATATATATATATATATATGTATATATATCAATTTTTTAATCATCAGATATAACTTTATTAACTAGATAAAATAAACAGAGAATCTCACTTGAGTGTTAAACTATTACACGAGTCTGATAAAGTTTATGTTACATCGGCACGAGAATAAGATTATATTTATAATATATCCTGCATTTCAGTAAAATAAGCGAAAAGTCGGCAAAATAAATTTCCCTATAAGACATATTTATTTCTACGCCGACGGTATGTTACCGAGACAATGATGTGATGTCATCAAAACGTGACGTATATATGACGTCACAATAGTGCTGTAACATGTGTCATGATATTTATGCCATAAATATATGGGATATAACAGGCGAGTCACATGATGAAAAGTTTGTAATCAAAGTTAAGATATTTATGTATGTTCCGTTTCCTCAGTTTAAACTTAAGTTATTTGTTTCTATGAAACAACGCCTCTCTCATGAACCTAGATCACATACATACTGGTCGATGATGATTTCCAAAAGGTTCACGTCACATTATCGTTTACACGAACACGTCTGCAATACTTATTCCTTTAAATGAAACATTTAAAATGGAATTGAAACAAAAAATATGGTGTATCTCTCCTATCTTACCTCAGAACGCTGTAGATAACAGCCGGTGATCAATCTTCTTCCCCCACTCGTTGGTGATTTTAAAGGGATTTTACATGTCCCAGAAGAAACCATCCAGAAGGCAAAGTAGATCACATGTACAGTGTCGGCAATATCAATAGCCGTTCTCTGTGTTGAATTAACCAGTCACGAACATCGACAAAACTAGAGCTTAACCACAAGTGAAAACCACTCCACACTCTCATGAGATTACCCCCTGTCAATATCAGTTGAAGGTGACACAATCAGAAATAGAGACCGAATTTTCAGCTCCGGCAGATTTGAACTTGATTTTCACGGCTTTGCGTTTTAACCAAAGCGGGAGTCTTTTTACTCAATCTGACATACTGACCCTGTATTCGACGCAGTTCTGTTGTAGTATGATTGCCTCGTATTATCCAAGACTTTAATCCAAAGCCGGTATAATGAGTGGCTTTATGTTTACATACATATGAACCTCAATATATCCGCTTCAATAGGCGGGTTTTGTCACATGCAGGCGCTTTAAATGCCGTCAACCTACCCGTCAAAACAATGTAAACTTTCCACTTAAATGTTCAACTTTTCAGTACTGCTAGTAGGCAACTTGTGACTAAGTTTTCGGCTGTAAGTAATGAACGGATCGTAAAATCACCAATACAAAAACTAATGATATCCAACGGATTTTACTTAATTCTATTTTTCATTCTTATTTCATTATCATAGTTTATTGTCGTAGATACAAAAATATTGGTTGCTAATTACTTTGTAAATTTCTACCTAGCATAGGTAGTCTATTAATCACAAACACATAAATAAAGAAAAATAATTAAAATAAAACAAGAGTATCAGTGAAAGATTTTATTGGGCACAAAATTTTAACAAAGGGCAACAATTTTGTAATTTAAAGAGTTGCCGGCCTTGAATTTGGTACACTACACATTATCTTAGTATGTCCAATGCATACACCATGTTTGATTATCCTAGTTTTAATGCAAGCAAAGTTATGTGCATGACACAAAATGTTAACTAAAGGAAACTTTATAGGCTGTCATATATAGTTTTTCACACAAGAGTAACACATCTTTGTCATACATCGTAAAGATATCATTTAGTCATTCAAAGATGTCATAAACGGTAGTCTTACACGGTAAACACATTAGAAATACATGTTAGTCAGCCACATTATAATTAGTTACACACGGTTGTCAAAGATAATCGACATACACTATAGCCATACACAGTTGTTATACACCATAGTCATAAATGGGACTCATACACGGCAGTCATACATAGTATTCATACAGATTAGAAACATACGGATGTTATATACAGTACACGTTCATAGTTGTCAATCACAGTAATCATACAAGATTCCATACACAGTAGTCACACTCGGTAGTCATGAATATATACAGAAGTCCCATACAGTCGTCATACACATTAGTCATACACAGTACTCATAAATAGTAGTCATACACGGCTAAACATATATAATACTCATAGTCATACGCGGTACACGTAGTTATATACTGTGGTCGTATACGGTACATGAAGGGGTCATACACGGTTGCCTTGTATGGTAGTCACACACGACAGTAGTCAGACACGACTGTGTCCAAACGCCACATCGATCTCCAAATCGACATTTCGGGTATCTTTTAAGCTAATAATTGAAGCTGAATTCTGTATCGTTAATCCAGAATACTCGACAAAGATTGGCCAGACAGAATAAACTTTCATATTTCATTTTTGAAACTCTCATTACTAGGAAATGTATCATTGCAATTCAACGTTTGGTATGACGATTTTTGCATACAGAACACACCTGCTATATACTTATGAACATTATAATGGTCTTTTATTGTGGTAATTAGTGCATTTATATTCAAAGAGCTATGAAGACATCGCATCTTGTGCTTTTTCAAAATGATGAGTATTTTTTTTTATAATTTGTGTTATAAATACAAAAAGATATGATAAGTATGGTTTCAATGAATAATTCGTAATAATTTTATGATAATTTATTTTGTGTTAGAAATCCAAA